CCGGGCCGGCCCCTGGCCCCCGGCCGGCCCGTGGCTCTGGCCCGGCCCCTGACTTCGGCCCGGTGCCCGCGGCTCCCGGCCCCAACTCCTGACAGCGCGGCCCCCATCTCCAGGCAGCGCAGTGAGGGGGTGTTGGATAGAGGACGGGGGGTGGATTAAGATCGGGACTCAGGGCGGTCAGATGGCAGGGAACAGGGGAATTGAATGGGGGCAATGGTCCTGGGGGGGCAGTCAGGAAGGAGCAGGGGTGTTGGATGGGGTGGTGGGGGGCAGTCAGGGGCAGGGGTTCCAGGGGCAATCGGAACAGATTGAAGGGGTGGTTGGATGGGCCAGGGGTCCTGGGAGTCCATCAGGAATTAGAGGAGGGGGTGGATGGGGTGGCAAAGGGCAGTTAGGGGACAGGGAAGGGGGTGGATGGGGCAGGCGTCCCAGGGGGTGGGGTGTCAAGGAATGTGGGGGGTTGGATGGGGCAGGAGTCCCAGGGGAAGCGGGGGGGCATGACCCCCTCATGGGGTGAGGAGGAGGGAACCGGTTGTTAATATTTTGGCAGCTCATCACTGCCTGGACATCCACCTGCCCTGGGTGGCACACTCCAGGGAGCGGGGACATGGACCAGGGACTGCTCTCAGGCCCCCTGGACCTTGGCCCAGGGCAGGTTGAAGGTCAGGGGCTCTCCACAGCAGCCAAGGCTCCCAGTCTCGTCGGTGGGGGGGGGGACCTCGGTGGGAAGAGGAGGTGTAGGATGGGGCCATTGAGGGCGTGGGGTCACAGGCTTCGGGACCTCGTGCCCCCCCACCCCAATTCTACCAAGGTTCAGGAACTCCTGGGTAGATCCCAAGCTGATGTCACACACAAAATCCTGACACCAAGGTTAGTGTTGAGTTCATGCCCACGCTGATGAACAGAAACTCTCTGCCCTGAGGGCTGACACATCTCTTTGCTTTACCCTGGTGCAGGGGGTCTCCCCCATTGCTCTTCTCCAACATCCTGCCTTTCCGGTGGGCAGGGCTGGGCTCTCCCATTAGAGCTGCTCACTGCTTCCTGGATTGGGGAGATGTTCTCCCTCTGATGCTGCCAGCTCCTCCCTTCTATCTGGGCTGGGGATGGGGCTACCCCACCCAATGCCACTTCCTACTCTCTGGTGTTAAGCAGCTCTTCCCCAATGCTGCATCTTCCTCTCTGTTCCCTGATCTGGGAGTGGAGGCTGCATTAGGGGAGGGAGCTTCCCTCTGGGGTTTAAAGCTGGTGCGTATTTTTTCTGCTCCCTTCTCATTAAAAGCTTCTGACACCTTCCTGTCTGTGTCTGTGCTGCTGGGAATGGAGCAGCCCCGCCCCAGAAGGGTGAGCTGGGAGATGAAGCCTCTGCAATAAATGAGAAACTAGTGAAGTGGGTCCCATTACAAAGACAGAGGAACTGCAGTGACATCTCTGCTCAGTCTCAGGTGCCCGGGACAGAGGCAGCTCCCTGGGATCCAGGCCAGGACTGTCCCAGCCAGAACAGGGCTTCTGGGGAGTGTGAGAAATGGTCCCAGCCTCCCCCAGGGCTGAGCTCTGCCCCTAATGCTCTGATTCTTTCTCTCCCCAGCGAATGTGACTCTGGATCCAGACACAGCTCAACCCCAGCTCGTCCTGTCTCAGGATCGAAAAAGTGTGAGATGGGGACACACACTGCAGGGTCTGCCCAACAACCCTGAGAGATTTGACCCTGAGCCCTGTGTGCTGGGCTGTGAGGGATTCACCTCAGGGAGACATT